TCACCAATTACTTTGCACAACCCAAATTTGTTTAAAAACTAACTGGTTTTGCTCTGTATCACTTTGCCTAATTGGCCACCGAGGAAAGGGCAAACAATGTCGAAAAAGCGCTAAGAATTTAGCATGAACTTAGTACTTGCCTTTCTTTTGCTTAATTTTTTTGCTTTCCTTCATATCATTGTCATTCTCAGATTATTTGTGTGCACTTTCAATGATAGCGCCCCCGCTGAGCTCTTCGTGTGTGATTAGGTAGGCGTCAGCACACGAAAAGTAGTGCAGTTCTACAGTGGCTGGTATCATCCCATTGACAAGGCAGAGCCTGTTCCACACTTCGACTGTAGTGGCTACAGGTGGTGACCGAATGTGAACAGAAATAGTCACACCAATGCACATTGGCAGCAACAAACTTGTCAAATGAGCAATGCTGAAATTTTCTAACTTCTGAATTCCCATCTACTTCATGGGTTGAAAAATATGTTGCACATCACAACCGGAATGTTTTGTTATTGCAGGAGTGCCTTTCGAAATCTCTTCGCTGTCGAGAAGGGGCAAACGCATTTAGCTCTCTGGACATTTGCCGAGGACGCTCACTGCCCTAACAATTTCGTTCTTGGGGGCTTTTGTCACCGAGGGGTTCAACCACACCCCTTGTTGTCGATCATTGCCCTCAACACACAGAACAGTCGTATAAAATTACGTCGGCACACTGTGGTGAAATTTGCAGTGGGGGAGTACCGGGCCTTCACAGAGTGCTGGCAAAAATTTGGAAAGAAGTCCAGTTCGAGCTTGCTGGAATGTGGCGTCAAGGCGATAAGTTTCTCGAAGGCTCACATAACTTCCAGCATTCGCATACATTTTTTTTATAGTATATGCCATGAAGATGACCCCACCTGAAAAGAGTGTACTGAAACGGCCCACAAATAACTGAACGACACACATACTGCTTTCAACAACAAGGCATCTTGGAGCAAGTTACCAGAGCCAGCCATGCTGCAGCTCCATGGGCAATAAAAGTGCGCTTGAAACTTTTGAGAAAGGCTCCACAACTGCATGACATAAACCCACTCACCGTGACGTAGGTAAGCTATAAACTGAATTTTACTTAGTGTGTCTGACTAAGCAAATGTGTCAACCTTCAGGAAGAGACAGAAATTAAATGACAGATTAAATATGTTTGCTTTTTTCACTCCTCTTCGCTACTTGCCAGACGCACTAGCTACACTCGGAACCTCTATGGCAGATGTTAGCCTGTCTTCCAAAGTAGGCACACTCATATACGGGAAGGTTGGCATCGAATGGATGGATGGAAACAACTTTATTGAAAGTCCTGCGATGTCTACAAGTCATCGAAAGCATGCAAAGACACTGTGAGTTGGGCCAGTTGGTAGATGTTCGTGTTCTAAAATTAGTTCATGTTTAAAAACTACAAAACATGGAGGGAAGTGCACTTTGACAGTATAAGCACTGTCCCGTGCACTTCTATTGTCCAAATCAGGGGTTCTCAAAGCGTGTTCGGCGGAACTTAAGGTTTCCACAGGCCCCTACTCGGGGTTCCGTGAGCCCCAGATAAATGTTTCCTGGTTTCGCCCTCGCTTAACTTACTTAAATGATGATTCTGAGATGGGATCTATCTAGGGAACCTCCATTACTCACGCCCTAGCATCACTATTTTATTGCTTAACGGAAACGAGCGAGCTGCGCAATAAATCCCGCCAGCAGTTTGTAGCCAGCCAGACTCCGAAAAATGGGACCTGCGGTGGCTTAAATCTCGGCGGCCTTGTATTACCACCATGAAAATTATGACTATTTAGAAATAGGTGCACATTACGGATATTTAAAAATAGGTGCTGCTAGCATACACCGAAAGTCTGAAGGTTTAAAAAAAAAGCATTGCACATCTAGTGGTTAGAACATCGCCGTCAAAACAGCCCGACTACGACCCGCCCCAAACGTATTGTGTGCAATGCCTAGCTTCTGCATCTCCACTACGCTTTGTTGGTGCAAGGAAAGTGAGTAATGTGGCATGTTGGTCAATAAACAATTTATATACCCTTGCTTTTGAATTTATTGAAAATAAAAATTAAAGAAGCTTGCTGGGGGAATTCTCGGCACTTAATATAGCTTAATGTTCCCTCGCACCAACATGCTTGAGAGCTCCTGGTCTACATGGTCAGCAGACTTCATACGAATTCTTAAAACATAAACGCCTCCCAACTAGCTCAACTTGCAATCTTGTGGCGACACATTCATAGTGTCCAGAGCCCTTTATTACCAAAGTAAGCACTGTTTTGTACACTTACTTTGTCCGCATCCCCAACGCACTCCAAACAAATATATTGAAATAAAGAGCTATGCGATAAAGAAATGGTACTCTCAGGCTCTCAGGTTAACCAGTAATTTGTGCTTTCCAATTCATACTCGTCCAGTTCCACACTAAAATTTGGACACAAAAGTTTTCAGAGCTGCAGGCGGCTCTATGGCTGTCGGTACACTTGGTATCGAATGCCAATCAAAGACCAGCCAGTCAATGCAGCCTGCCGAATCGTGGCAGTGGATTGGCCCTAGAGTGACCAATCCATGGCTGGAACATCAGTGAGAACACGCAATGAAATGTCAGTGACAGTCCATTGCCAAAAACTAACAAAAACCATCAACTAGCTCAATGTTGGTGATTAGATTGTGCAGCCGGCTTCCCAAATCTAACCCTGCCACAACCTGGTTGCTCTCCACAACTGTTGGTAGCCCTGCCACATATCTGGCTGCTCTCCACGACTCTTTCACACTAATGCCAACTGTGTGTTCTCAGCGATATCCTGGTCATGCGGTCAGTCAGTTTGAAGTTATGATTCAGGTTGAATTGCTGGCTTCTATATCTTTGTCATTCAATGCCAGCCACAGCAACAGTTTCAATCAAAACAAAGTGTTACTTCTAACAAGGTAGAGGTACCGAAAAGAAAGGACTGCACTAGACCCATTTCGTAGCATGAAGCAACAGAAAAATTCACATGGCTTCCACACAAACACAGCTTTGCAGTATACGGCGCAAATCTCGAGCGATTACATTATAGCCTAACGAGAATTCCCAGCGCAGCATTCAGTTGGGGCAAGGCAAACCGTGTAAGAAATTTCGGCTTTCGGCAAGATGTCAACTAAGCCATAAAGCATAATTGTTGTGAAGCAGGACAACACCTAGTGCACCATTATTAATATTTCTGAAGATAAGCGAGGTACTCGCCACACATCTGTGAGGTGTTTGTACTTTGTTGATGCTGCGTGTGGCTAATGACAAAGAATTATGGCTGAGCGTTTTGCAGTTGGTAGAAGCACTAAACCACACTTTCATTGTGCAGTTAGCATTGCGTGGTGACTTACTTTACTCTTCTGTCACGCTATACAACAAAAGTTAATGCGATTCCTTGCTCGATATTGGTATAGGGTCTTTTCGCTGATGCGTTTCAAGAACCAGTGTGGATTTGTAGCGAAATACTTGTCTCCCACTTGGAGTGTCCGGGTTCACATCCCATTAGATCCTGGGCATTTATTTATCTCATATTACTTTTTTCAAGCTTATCGGTGAGGCCACCTACAGCAACTCCATTGCAGATACGGGCACATGAGATCTTCGCTTTAATATGTTGTGATGTGGAATTTTAGCCAGAAACTAAAGCCCTCATCGGAGCAGCTGCTCTTCCACCTTGGCTAACCAGGAGGCTAGCTTACTATACTACAAAACAGGCGAGTTAATGGACAGCTTCAAGCAGGGACACTGTACAGTAGACTCTCAATAAATGGAAATCTGTTAAATGGAACTGCTGCTTAAATAGAACAAGTGTCTCTGGCAGGATTGGTTTTGTACTTGTATACTACTCCCCTGTACATCTCTCAGTAAATGTAACTCCTGTGAATGGAACATATTTTCCTAGCCCCTTCAGGTTCCGTATGATGGGAGACAACTATAATGTCTACAAACCTTACTTTCTTCCATGATGAATTCCTGGGAGCTTAACTTATCAAGTCATTTTATGACTTGAGTCATAAAATGACTCAAGTCACAAAATGTTTGGCAATGCCATAAAATGTTTGTTTCTGTTGATAGTGTACTCATTTTATGAGTACACTATTAAGGGGGCAGACTGGTCTTTGGGACCAAAAAGTGACAAAAAATTCATTTTTCAGAATTGACATACTATTTGGTTTCTGCAAGTATTTTTCTCTCTGCAAATTTTCACACACCGGGAAGTAGTAGTTTTTTTTTTGTAGTGTCATTCTAAGTGTCCAGATTCTTGGTGCTGTTACCCTGCAGAACCTCCAACAAAATGGAGAACCGAATTTGAGGCTTCTTTCTAATATTCCAAAGCTCTACTACCAATTTATGAGTGCCTTTATAAGGATTGCAAGACATGCACACCATGATTGTTACTTTTTGAAGAAACTGTGTGTTTACAGTTTTTCCTTTTTTTCTTCAAAAAACTAACTTTACGACTGTTCTATTTTGGGGCCACAATATTTCTGCAGCTAGGGCAGGTACAACAATGAGCCTCTTTGCAGTAGAAACCTGTATGTGTGCAGAATGCAAGTATGGTAGCAGAATTCAAACCACAAGCCTTTTTAATTATTTATTAATCAAATTTTAACATATTTCCTACTGCTTTTGAAACTGGAAAGTTTATTTTGCTGTAAAATAACCAACAAAGACCTAAAAACAAAAAAAAAACTCTTGCATACTTTTGCTCTATATTAATTAGTCTATACTGGCATATCCTAAATACTACATTCAATTAGGCATTTTTTTCTATGGCGGCCTTAAACAATAGGGGGTGAACTCAAGTTATCTCAGGAAAAGATAAGCTACAGGAAAACTAATAAATTTTTGAAAGTAGTAGAAGAAAACTGGATAACCCTGTGCAGTTTGATCAAGATCACTGAAGAAATAAACAAAAAATGTCTAAGACCAGTCTGCCCCCTTAACAGAAAATAGGAGATTCTGCAGCACCCAACAATTTAAGCACAACAAATTTTTTTATTTCATTATCTGTACAACAGGACTTAAGTTCAACAATAAATGGCGAGAAATGATTAAACCCATAATTTAAAATTCCACAATACGTCAATGCAAGCTTTTCATGACAGCTTGACCCTGACATGGAACCTTTCTTAGAAATGCACAAGGAATATAAATCAAGAAAAATAACCATCAACACACGATTTCTGCATTCAAATTCCATGCTCCTGAACGACAATCCCGAATTGGCACTTTTCAAAAACGTAACATGCAGAGAATGATGACTCCGTATTTCCTCAGCACAGGGCGAAACCATGAGGGGTGACTGCGATGAAACATGAAGAACAGCGGGCCACAGGTTCAGCTCAGGCCTGTAATGAGATGAGACGGCACAACGATGATCAGGGCATGAAGTGCTCATGTTCAAGATGGTGTTTTTGACAAAATGATTCCGCCAGTTCCACGCCATAAAAACCACTTGGGTGTGTGCGATTGGTAAGCCAGATAAAGTGGTGTACAAAACAAGGATGCACCAGCCACTCATTTCAGGGAAGTGGGCGGTGTCGTTTGAAGTAAAACAGGAAAGGGGCTTGGGCCACGGCTTTTGTTTTCGTAGTTACTATCACGAGAATTGCATTTGTGCTCACAGTGCTCCCACTCTTAATAGGAGGTGCATGACGGGCACGGACGGGGATGGGAGGTGCTGACGGGGGCTTTGAGGGTGAGAGGGGGCGATGACCCACCTGCTGGCTCGGGTAATGGTGTTTGAGCAATGCCTCGCGCCATACAATTTCTAGTGAAATCACATCGTGTAAATCCACCACAACACATATCTGAAACACATGCGTTTATGCCCAATTTGTGAAAGCGAGATCATGTGACCTGCCGGCACAGGCAATGGCATTTCAGCGAACGCCTTACGTCGTGTCGTTTACCACTGTGGTGCATCCAGAATCCCACCAAGTGTGCGCTCGCCATAATCTACGTGACCCTCTTACGCACCCCCTGATACATTACAAATAATGTAATGTTTGGAGACTTACATTACAAATAAGGTAAGCTTCTAATGAAAATACAAATAACATTCTCATTATTTTGTGCCAAAAGTACTACCTATTATGTTTATGCAATTAATTAATTTTGAGAAAATATTTGAATAAAATATTTGTTGTGTCAGTTGTGTTATACTCACTGTTGGTACAACCCATTCATATGCTTCTCATAAAGTCATGCACTACAAGCCTGGTTGTACTGCCCAGGAGCTATGAGACTTGCCTTCACATCATGAAGGCCTGTTTTTAAAACCCACCTCGACGAGAAAATTTTTTTTGATTTATTTATTTCATTATTCTCATGACTAGTGAACGCCAATACTGGCAACACCAACACATGGTCACCAAGTACAGCTTTGCTGTAACAAAAGCACAAAGAGAAAAATAACAAAACAATAAATAAGCTTATCAATCGCATTCGTTTTGAGATGGTGAACACTCCCTGTATCAATTGCAACATGTGTGACACGTCACAATTCATGTACTATGTGACGCCAAACAGGCTAAAAAAAAAATGTGTTCCACACTCACTGTATTGGCAACAGTTAACGCTGACTGACGCTCCCACGTTTAAATTCACATATGTACCCAATAAAATGGCTGGGAGGATAGCCGCCGTTGTAGCTCAGTGGGAGAGAATCGAACGTGTTATTTGATGGTCGCAGGTTCTATCCCAGCCGGTGGCAAGTTATCTTTTCGTCCACTTTTCTTACTCGACATTTACACTGAAATGACTTCTAGTAACATTCCCTATACTTTATTTGGCATTATTGCCCGTTAGATCTCTTTAATATTTCGTCTAACAAAGAAACCAAGCCCTAAAATTTGCACTTTCTTTCATGACTGCAGATTGTTTTGAGCATGCTGGCTATATTATTGCCACTTGGCAGGCATCCTGTGCAAATTTAGCAGAAATAGAGAAACATTCACCCGTAGGCACGAATCAAGCCCCAATGCTGATGGCCCAATACTTCCATCACTGACCAATGCATGGAGTGAACTTAGTGCCGTGAATATATATGTACCAAATGGCGTCATAGTGGATGACTTCGTTCACGTGGATGAAAACAGTGTCATGCACAACAGGGTGAGGCCACCATATGTAACACATACAAACGTTACGACACCAATGGCCACCAAATCCCAAAACATTAACCTCTCAGACAAGAATGCCTTTATTTTACTTTTGCTTTCTTTTTTTAGTAGCTATGGTCCAATTGATTTCAACATGTTTTCCGGTTTGCACGAACAACTTCATGCTATGAATTTAAATACAGTCGAACCCCTCAGTAATGAAACCATCGGGGAAGCGATTTTTTGTTCATTCTTGGGAGAATTTCCTCGTTGAAAGAAAAAAAAATACATGTACGCCAATCATTTCTCACAACCAAAATTTACTTAAAATCTTGCTTTGTTTCACACTACTCTGAAGGATCCAGATTCCCTGAAGCGCCGAAGACTAGCGCTTTTCAATTAGAGATAGCACTTTTTCAAGATGCCAAATGACACTGCAGGTAAGCAAAGTGTGACAAAACTTTGCGTGCACACAAAGAGACGTGCAGCAAAAAGCAGTTAGGCAGTCAACAGAATGTCTGCCGGCATAGCGTCGCTTTTGGGGGTGTCGTCACTTGACGTCCTAGTTGTCAACACGGACATAAGCAAAGAACCGCTCTGAGCGAAAAAGAGTGTCGTTGCTATCATTATCAACCAAGCGAATGTAAGAAGCAATGGTTGCACCAATGCTTGTTGGTGAAAACTTATACGCTCAACTTTTAAATGAAAGACGCTGACATTTTTTAACTGGGATCCCGTCAAGCTCATGGTCTGAAAAAAAAAAAAAAATGTTGCGGACTACCACCTAAATGTTTGGCTACTGCGCTAATGCTTTTTAAAACCTCTTTGCCGTCGAGAGGAGGTAAAGGCAATGAACTCTAAGGACTTACTCTGGGGATGCCAGATTTCTTAATTGCCGCAAAATTTCGTTATCAAGGCCTTTTGTTATTGAGGTGGTTTGACTATAACATGCCTCAAGCTTATTCATGTATACATATTCTTTGTATATTATATGGTGTTTCCCTTGTGTACTTATCTTAGTTTTTCAATTGTATAATGTCTACTACTGCCACCCTGCTGGCTGAACATTAGGTACGAAGAGCCATCAAGCTGCCCTAGACTATCTTTTATCTATAACCCACCCATCTGTCTTGCAGAATGGGGAAATAAAATTTATCAACTAAATGGACCCTGCAGGATGAATGGCTTATATGCCAACACAATTTATACACTTTTCAGTGAGCCCAAAAACACGGCAACAGACCACTTATGGCAGTGCTAAGGCATAGTATAGTTGTTGAATTTCTACACATCAAGATTTGATAAGCTTACCCACTTTCTTTTTCTAAGGAATAACTTTTTTTCCAAAGAATTTCCCAGCCATTCAGTCTCATGCTAGCCCCAATCGAATTCCCACAACAGCAAATTTTCCTGCTTTTCTTATTTACAGATTTCAAGTGTAATGCTTGAAGTAATGAAAAGTCTACGCGAGGCAGCAAAAACTGCACAGAGATGCCCAAACTCTTGTTATGGCACAAAACGCGTCAGCTGCAAAGCAGCGATAACGTAAAACATTCTAAGTGGAAATGGCAAGACTCACCGAGGTAGTCGTCCATTAGTGTGCCGATGGCAAACTGTAAAACACGGCAAAAAAGAGAACAGCTAAGAGTGAATTTATCAATATCAAACAGTTTTGAACATAACACATACAATGTCACACTATACCGTACTTACTCCCGTAATGAACCGAATTTTTTTTTTTTTTTTTTTCCAGAAAAGGTGACACCTATTTGGAGGGAGGGTGCATTACACAGGAAAAAAAAGTCACAGGTGTTATAACAGCGAAAATTTCAAATGATGTTTTTGCTTTTCCTGGCCCGCGAAATGCGCAATGAATCTTTTTTGTAGCCCAAAGCTCTTCTTGTTTTCTCCCGTAATGAACAAGCGCGAATTGCGACGCCGAAGTGTCATCAAGCCGCGTAGTTCCCGTGCTTAATCAACTTTATGTTTAAAACTAGCTGGGTAGCTAGTGTACCGGCCGAATGCGCCATGCACAGCACGTGTTCAACTAAGTTCACCACGACAAACCCGACAACAAAAACAGTGTCAAATAGCGGCGCACAAATGTTGCAGACAAAGCGCCGTCAGCACGGTTGGGTGTGGTTGCGCTATATATGACCTCCAAGATGGCGGGCGCGTGGAGTCTTTCTACGCCGCATGCCTGCTATCTTGGAGGCCATGCGCTTTGCTTTTTCCTTCAATTTTGTGCCGCTGTGCTTGCTTGGCGCTATTAGCAAAGAGGTTTCTCCTGCGTTCAGCAGATGGTGCTCCGCCGCAAAAAGCACCGACTTTTAAACTTTTACTGATGTCGTCCACGCTAGCACTGTTCGCAACTGTTGAGCATGGTTGTGAAACTAAGTTTAGACTTTGATTGCATCATTATTTTGTGATTTAATGGTTTGATTTCACGCTGTTTCGATAGTCAACGGCCCTGCCTATCACACCAAAATAAAATGAATATATATATATATATATATGTATGTGTATATATGTATATATATATATATATATATATATATATATATATATATAATTAGGAATAAAGGAGCACAGTTACAAAAATTTGATAGTTGTTTACTCTACGTTTCGGCCGTGGCACGGCCTTCGTTACGGCCGAAACGTAGAGTAAACAACTATCAAATTTTCGCAAGTGTGCTCCTTTATTCCTAATTATATTTGCACCAGACCCACAGAATTTCTTTTTTGAATTATATATATATATATATATATATATATATATATATATATATATATATATATATATATTCAAGGACCAAGATGAGAGGAAGGGTCACATAATATATAAAAAAATCGAATTTTCCGCGACCAAACTAGGGGTGCGCCTATTATGCGAGTGCGGCGATTATGCGAGTAAATATGGTATATATTTTTTCAAGGACCAAGATGGGGGTAGGTTTATTATGTATGTGGGTTAATTACATGAGTAAACACGATAGCATGCAAGCTCAGCTGGCTACATGGACACAGGAAAACGACGTTCACATGAGCACCGCACAGATGATTTTTTGCAATGAAGGCCCTATGTGCTGCTATGATCCCCTATCAAAGTTTGCAACTATAAGTGTGACCCCTAGAAAGGCAATGCAAAGGCAAACTTCCATGAGAATCTGCGCCTTCTTTCTGTTCAAAAAGTCTGCTAGGAGACAACGCTCGCAAAGATCGTGACAGCTACCACAGATTTGTGACGCAGATAGGGGTTCCTTGTTTACAAGAAAATTGAAGCAGCGGTTTGCGTGCAATGGGGAGGTGACACGACATGCACATTAAAATTGTTGATACTGTCGAATCTCGATGATTAGAACTCAAGGGGGCCCAAAAATTTGTTCCAATTAAAAGATGTTGAATTAATGAAAGCTAAATGAACAGAGGGCTCACCATTCAGTGGCGCATGTGTGTTCAGCTAACACATGAGAGGAAAGCTTCAGAAGACTTACATTTCTTCACAAATCACAGGACATACATCATTAACTGAAGTAATTGGTGATGAGCGTCGGCACACATTTTCCTTGCAACGAATCAATTCCGCACGCAGTTTGCAAAGCATTTTAGTGTTCTGCTTCAGTGTTCTCCTGGCAAGAGAAGCCCAGCGCTAACACTCTCTAAAGACGACGGCAACGACTGAGTCTCTCCGCTGCTACCCCCTGCTCCGCAGCGGGAGCGTGGCCAGCACATGACCAGAAAGGAGGAGCATCTCCACATGGGGGGAGGAGCAGATCGGCATTTGAGAGAGAACCAACACTCCATGGCAGCTTTTTTTTTTTTTTTTGCTCTCGTCGCGCAGGGTGCTGAAAGGACAAGGGTTTCTACGTTACGTGGCAGGAACGGGAAAGGGGAAGCGTGGCACCAATGCGTCGCAGATCCGCGAGCCAACGCTCCGCGACAGCTTTCTTTATTTTTTCGTTTTTTCTTTCCTTCTCTCTCTTCGCACGCGGTGCTCAAAGAAGGTTCTCTACGTGGCAGGGACAGAAAAGGGAGAAGCGCGACACAGGCGCGTCGCAGATCGGCATTTGAGGGAGAGCAAACATTCCGCCGCAGCCTTTTCTTCTTTTCCTCCTTCGCCCATAGCTTTGAGGTGTCGGAGGTGTCATCGCGAAATTGGGCGTCGTACTGAGAGCATTTTAGGAGCACGGCATAATCGAATTAACCGTCGCAAGTGCTTGCGGAATTACAGGGCGTTTTCACCCATTAGAATACACATAGATTTGACGGTACCACAGCGAGTTCAAATTAACTGGAAGTTCGAATTAAGCGTGTTCGAATTAATGAGATTTGACTGTATAATGAGGCCTAAAAAAATCTATCGGGCAAATTATCACGTCTTCAGTTTTGTGCAAGTAGTCCTTTAAGAAGACATTCACACCACCGACTGACAGAAGTCTACGACTGGCACCACCGACCACAACACCGATTGTCAACCACGCGATGCTTAAAGTTTTTCGTTGTCATCGGCAGTGCCTCGCCCGGTTCGTTCCTTGTCAGTCTTTTGCAAACCAGTATGCGGTAGCCGCAACCCACTTCACGACTGGTGCGTCCCACTATACATTGCGATAGCCGACAGGCTTGCGGTTCCAAGCACGTCCGATGTACAATAGCTTCAGCTTTTGGGATTGGCATACGTCCAACACTTCTTTAGACTTCCGGTTTCGCGTACGTTTGATGTACCTTTAGACCCACTGTATTGTTCGTCTTTTCGTTGTTACATGTGGGAAGTAAATAGGTATAAGTGAAGAGTGTGATTGAAAGAACATTGCTAGGAAAACGAAATGTGTTGTAAGCTGCTAGATCTCAGACAATGGTGAACACTTAATTAAGCATATTTTAGTAACCAGAAAACCAGTGTGTTGTCTTTGCAGCGGTGCTTTACATAAGGAAGTTTTAGTCATAGAATGCCAAAGTGTCTTTACATATCTGAAACCTCATGCTCTGCATGCATTCTTTCGTAAACAGCAAACTCTTTCATAAGAGATAAGAGACACTGATGTAAAAGACAAATGGGTATAAGAGACACCAGCATTGAAACAAGGATTTGTCAGAAAGTGAGAGCACTATACCCTGCTTATGCAACACATTTCATGTAATGGACAAGAAATGATCCCCAGAGCATGCCTCTCATGAAGGGGTTCAATAGTGCCTATAAATTATGCCACCAATTTGCATACCAAAACGCTTGCATCACCAAACTCTGGGTGCACAAAACTTGAAGTCATATTAACTGACTGTACAATACATGCACCTTTAAATAATCAAGTAGTGGCAAGTGCCCAACAACTGTATTAAAAAAAAAAGTGGATGCAAGTTAAAATTTGCAAAACCACTTCTGCGAACATGACAGTCGACGAACAATCCCTAAAACATTGGGCGCCAAGCAATAACACAGTTATTGAAAAGAAAAAAGTATCGCAAGCATTCCTAACCATTGCAGACTTTCCTTCAGGAAATATGAGAGTAACAATATTTTTCGCTTGGCTTTCAAAAGGCCCCGATTTCTTCAGACAAACTTTCAATGACACCTTTAAATACGGAAGAAAATGACGTCATGCAAATGGCAACCTATGAAGCATTCGATATGGGTTACGGCAGCTAACTTTCCGGGAGCCTTCACAATGTGGGACTCACATTGCCAGTGGTATGTTTCAATGCTTGAGGAGACCGTTTTGAAGAATATGAACAATATACTATGCCAATTAAATCAATAAACTTTCTTTACCAGACTCACTCTCACTACAGAAATACCCAGTAAGTGCAAGATTGACTGTATGCCGACACTGCACTGACAGTCACCTCATATTCTGATATGCACTGAGAACGTGCAAAGTGGCGTAAAAGGTTTGATTAAAGAAACATAGATCCATCAAATGTCCCGTAAGTTCATGCGAAAAGTGCAGTTACACTGAGTGCAGCAAGCTAGAATGGCCTTTATGCAGACAAGTCAACCTGGCCAGGTTTGTACTTTCCGACGCTTGAGGTTCCAATGGCAAGGTAGGTGAAAACCAGCAGAAACGTGGCGCCAAACAAAGCAATGAGCCCTCAAAAAATTCCTGTCATGCCAAGGTAAGTGGCATGATGAAAACTTGTGCGACAGTCAAATGTGGTATTCAAAATGTGCAATTTCAAGGATAACAACACTGAGTAAGAAAAGAAGTTTATCAATCAATTCTCTATTTTGGTGGTTTTGTACAAATGTTGAACTTGCGAATCTGAATGAAATTGACAGGAGAAACTGATATTCGTACCAAGCTAGCTTGTAGACAATTCTGATGCTTTCCTTGAGCTTTAAGGTATCAGAAGTGCCTTAGAATGAGGGGAATATTACAGCCGAACCCTGCTACCATGAACGCCACTTAAACGAAATTCCCGCTACAACGAGAAATCCACAATTCCCTGTCAGCAGTCTATAGGAGTCAATGCACAAATATGGTTGCCACAACAAACACTTTTTCTTCTGCCGTCCCGCTTCAATGAAATTTCACAATGCGATTTCAGGCTCAGATATTTATTGCTATACAGCAAACCTACTCTTTAGCATTTTGATGCATTTTCAGAGCCTGAAAATACGTCGACGAAGTCTAAACACACTTTGGCACCTCCAGAAAACACCGCTGTTCAGCTAGCATGGGCACCGCCATTGCTCAGTAGCGATTGCAATGAGACTACCCTGCTTTTGCACTGAGAAAATCAGGGCAGTCTCGTTGCCCTCGCTATCAAGCAATGGCGGTGCCCATGCTTGCTGAACAACAGTGGTTTCTCGTGGTGCCAACACGTGTTTTAGACTTCATCGACGTATTTTCTGGTTCTGAAAATGCATCGAAGTGTTAAAGATTGGGTTTACTGCATAGCTGCAGACGATCCAAAGCTGAAGCACAGTTGCTTAGTTCATGGTTTCCTTCGTGCAGCTGCTGGATGCATCTGCGGAACAATTCCTTATCCGATTCCAATGCTCATCATTTTGTTCACGCTTAGCCAGTGTGGTAACTAATCAGGGCGGCTGTTCGTCCGCATTATCAACAAAATCAGCTAGCCGTGAGTGATGGATAAGAATGGCATAAAATAAGGGAAAAGTCACCGCTCCGCGATACCCTGCTGCCATCTCGGGGTTTTACAGCGGACAGCTGCTGGTGCTAACGTGTTGATGAAACCGTTTGGTTCGTTCACGAAAGCAGTTGTAGTCATTGTTTCAGCGTGCTTTTCACCATGACCTCACTATGCATGGGTGAGAATCGCGTCATGACGCGGCTGGGATAAAATAAAAAGCAGCAGACACTTCTTGAATTCTGAGAATAAACGTTTCTTTGTTTTGCGAGTTCAGATCAGCTAAATTTTAGCCTCAACGAAATTTTCTCCGTGCCCCTTCAGTTTCATTGTAACGGGGTTCGACTGTAATGGCATTATACTGAGTTGGTCTCCTTTGAGAATGTCGGGACTGTTCTCAATACGTTCATTTATGTTCTGGTGAATGGCCATTAGATTATACCGGAGAACTATAAGTGAAGGCAAGAGCCGCATTCAAAATCACAATCCAAACAATTAACACTAGTGGCAATCGTAGTGTGCATAATGTTTCACTGGCTCCTCGATCATGAACACATAATAGCATGGGTTATGAATTTTCGATGCTGAAGCGCTACAACCATACACAAAACAACAATCCACGCACGCGAATTCCCAGTACACAAACTTTTTCACGGCAGCAAAATGGCTACAGGGTTTCACAAACTTCTGCCAATGTGGCAGAATTGTTAGTGTCATGATGTCACCACCCATGCAACATACCTTGTCAACTATGCAGCCAAGTCAGTCATGCCTACACAAACCGCAAATGTATTGAACAGGTAGTTCTTTCTTCCCTTTAATCAGCTATAACACTGAGCACGAGAGCTAGTCAATGGCATTCGGAGTCAGTCATCTTCACTTGTGCAACACAGACCTTAAGTGGTCTTAAAGGGACCCTCAAACGGTTCTGACGATTTAGTACAAACACGTTAGGAATGTAGACTTATACCCCTGTCACAAGGTCACCACCAAACTCCGTTGAACACCGTCAACGTAAATCTCCCCAAGGGGGTTCGACGGAGAAGGAGTTGTGGCAGTGTCACACGGCAGCGACAAGGTTGTAACAGTTGCCGCGAGGGGGTTCAGCGGGCAATGTTTGATTTTCGGAAAAGTATTCTAATTTCATCTGTAATAATTTTTTGTGAATCCTCGTTATGCGATTTTTACAAAAAAGCACTATTAAGTAGGTATGCGACTAACAAATCATTAAAATAATTTCAAATAAAAACGCATTTGCTAAATGTAGCGATGCTGCTAGTGACGCTGGCCACATTGTGCTTTTAGTTGTTTTGTTGCCTGTGTACATCCCCGGTACGAAAGTTCTTATGCTTCCTTGCCTCGTGAGCGCACATTTTGTGTTCTTCAGCCATGAGCGACACAGCGGACGATGTGAGGAAGTGGTACAATATTGCGCTGGTAATGACGTTGATCGGCTGGCGCCGGCCACCCGACTCGCGAGGCACGGTGTGTAGAGCATCGGTGTTGAGAGTAAGTGAACTCTGGCGGGCGTAAATATTTGTAAACAAACACGCGTTGTGAATGAGTACTACAACGAAAGAACTTTCAATATTGCCAAAATGAATTATTCTTTCACTGCGGCCACTTACTGCTCGAAATTTTTCTCTGACCTCTAGACTGCTGGGGACGAGAGTACCTCGTTTCACTGCGAAGGGAGATCGTTAAACGTCTTTTGCGAAACGCTCCGTTTACCTTCGTTTGTGTAAGGGTGGCCGTTTGACACGGACCGCATCTTTGTTGTCGTAAGGACGAATGAGTCAAACGGTCTTCGCGGGTGCCCGTGTGACAGGGGTATAAGTCCTCAGGGTCATTTACATACAGATTTGAGCTCTCTGCATACATGTGTAATTTATTACAATGCTTTAAAAAGCTCTGAATCGCTGCAGGTCACTGCGCCTCAGCCCAACGCATTTTCAATCGCCCGTTCCCACATTGACATGCTCTGGTAACGCGTCACCGAGGCTGCTGGTCTGATTGGCTGCGGAATGCGTGAAAGTAATATTGGTTGGTAGAGTGGCGGCACCTGTCGGAGCAGATATCAAGCATTCCGTGATCTTCATCTCTGTTGCCAGACTGCATGCGTGCTGTTGAGCACACTGTGTGATGGCCTGAGAGATTGCGCGCAACCTGTCGCCATACAATCTCGAAAATCTAGACTGGTAAAAGCCCAAATCGTCGAGCGCGCTCGTGAGAGCTCCACGATCGCCAGCGATGACAGCGTGTCTCATGAGTTGAAGCAAGGCAGAGGTGAGAAGGAAGGTATGATATCATTGTCCGTAGCAGCCTTGGTACAGGGTGTGCCGCTAACTTTGTGGTGCGAATGGTTTGATGGTCATCATCATCATCAGCCTGACTATGCCCACCACAGGAAAAAAGCCTTCCCCATGCTCCGCCAGTCAAGTTTGCTATCTTGCCTTTGTGCTCTGCCCATGACCATTTCCTCTTCTTGATCTCAACTATGATGTCCTTTAACACCCGTTGTTGTCCCTCAGGGTTACACCAATCACTTTCCTTTGCATTGCTCGCTGCGTCGTCCTCAACTTCAATTGAACCCCCTTTGTAGTCCTCCAGGTTTATGCTCCGTAGGTACTAAGTACCGGTAAGATGCAGCAGTTATATACCTTCCTCTTGAGGGATAGTGGCAATCTACCAATCGTAATTTGAGAATGCTTGCCAAATGCGATCCACCCCTATCTTATTTTTCTAGTTACTTCAACCTCATGGTACGGCTCCGCGGTTACTACCTGTCCTAAGTAAACATACTCTTTTACAACTTCAAGTGCACTGGTACCCATCTCGAGGCGCTGTTTTCTTTCGAGGTTATGGTACACTACGTACTTTCATTTTCTGCAGATTAATTTTAAGACCTGCTTTTCTGCTATCCTTGTCTAATTCAGTAATCATGATTTGCAATTCGTCCCCTGAGTTACTCAGCAATGCAATGTCATTGGCGAAGCGCAGGTTACTAAGGTACTCTCCATTAACTCTTATCCCTAACTCTTCCCACTTTAGGCCTTTGAAAACCTCCTGTAAGCACGCGGTAAATAACATTGGGGAAATTGTGTCCCCCTGCCTTACACCCTTCTTGATTGGTATTCTGTTGCTTTCTTTATGAAGCACTATGGTGGCAATTGATCCTCTGTAGCTTTCTTCCAGGATGTTTATATATGCTTCGTCGACACCCTGATTCCGCAGTGTCCGCACGACTGCTGATATCTCTACTGAATCGAATGCCTTCTCGTAATCTAAGAAGGCTATGTATAGTGACTGGGTGTACTCTGAGCACTTCTACATCACCTGATTGATAGTATGAATGAGGTGGATAGTTGAGTAGCCTGTACGAAATCCTGCCTGATCCTTTGGCTGACTGAATTTTGATGTGGTCTTAAATCTCTGTTAGCAATTACCTTTGTAAATAGCTTGTATACGATAGAGAGCAAGCTGATCAGCCTGCAATTTTCCAACATTCTGGTATCCTTCTCATCATGAGACACTTCGTATATAAGGTGGCCAGTTTTTCTAGCACAATCTCTCCACCATCTTTCAGCACGTCCATTGTTACGTTATCCTCACCAGCAACTTTGCCTCTTTGAATTTCGTTTAAGGCTTTCCTGACTTCTGTCAGAAATAGTGGAATGTCATCCAGGGTGTTGCTAGTTTTTACATTATGGTCGTGGTTGTCTCAGCTACTGTACAGATCTCTGCGAGACTCCTCCACTACTTTAGCTATCCTATCCATATTGGTAGTTAGTTTGCCTTCCTTGTCCTTTGATGCATACATCTGGTTTTTACCTATCCCGAGTTCCCTCTTCACCGCTTTGACGCTTCCTCCGTTCTTTAGAGTACGTTCAATTCTCTCCTTGATTCTCTAGCTTAAATGCCAACAAAACTTCAGACAACCATCACCAGAGTGACTGCAGTACACAATGAAACAAAAGAGAAGCAACTGAGATTATCTATTCTTTTTTTTTTTTTTCACAACAAGCACCCCCCGCTTTCCCCCAACAAAAAAAGTTTTTTAGCGCAATGCTACTCACGATGTCTGACGCATCTACTCTCGTGCCCACAATCTTCAGCCTGATCTCGTCGTCCTGCTGGATGATGATGTCCTGCAAAACGAACCTCAAATAAGATGCTGGATGATGATGTCCTGCAAAACGAACCTCAAATAAGATCTTGAAGCTAGAAGACCAGTCAACAACCAAAATTAATGCGGTGGTGCCATTAAATTTCGGGGCTACAACTAGCCTGTTGTGGGTTGCCTCTGTACGCAAGGACACTCCACACAAAGCGTCAAATACAGCTAAACATTTAGAATATATTTATATTCACTTGCGAAGTGCACTTGAATGCTTCTGCTCCCGATCGAGACTCATCGCTAGCGGGTCTTGCACTGACGTAGCTCTTATAGGAAGAGCAGCGAAAGCTGTAGTGATGCCACACCAGATCTGTAGTGACATGAGTGACCTCTAGACCTCCACCATCTCTGCAACATCGCACCAGCAAAACATTGGTTGCTACACCACTCGCGGCTGCTGCAGCTAGCCATGGATACTGTCGGTGCATTTGTTTCGCTAGCGATTGTCTGGTCACGTGACAAAGTTACCTAGCTGCTGTGTTACAGCCAAACTTGGTCCACAGAAACCGAGATCGAAAGTTGTCCACATACATAATGCGATATTAAATTATTTAGCGAGAACACATGAATCTTGCTGCATGTATCATGTTTCCTGGAGCTATAAAGAAATGCTTGCAGCAAAGGACACTCGAGCCACAAATTTGATGGTGCCAGCTATTTAAAGGGGCTGTCAACCACTTTTCTGCAAAGTATCACAACCACTTCACAACCAGCTATATGCATTGCAGTAATATATGGCCGAAAAAATATTTCAAGAAGATGGCGCAAACAGAGACTTTACAAGTGAAAATGCTCGCTTTTCCCACACCAGCTCAACATGGAAAGAGCGGGCAGTGCGCCCACGTTGCGTTCCGTTCTAGGGGTGTGCGAAAAGTAAAATTTTAACTTAAATCGAACGATGACAGATTAATGGCCAGAAATGTCAAATATTGAATCAAATATCGAATAAAAATATTTAATTGAGAACAAAGAATTCACAAGGAAATGAAATCTGCTGATGTCCTCGAGAACGTAACATGGCGTGTGACTGCTATCAAAATGTCAGAAATTGTCATGCAGAAATACAAGCCATTCCCCACGATCTGACTTCAGGCTCTTTCACCGATATGTTACAATGTTTCAGCAGTCGAAAACGCGCACTCCATGTGCTATGAGAAAATATCGCGAAGCAATTTTGGCGATACCTGGATAGAGTGCAGCTCCATGCTATCGCGAGACATCTGACCTGAAAATATTTCTCGGGAGAATCTTAGTTCCAAATAGGCTGATAACATGCCACACTCACCTCATCTTGCGTCCTGTAGCACGGTGGGTTGGAGTTTGGATCAAACTGCATGTCCGATGGGATAGACTGGAATGCACAAGATTTGGAAAAAGAAGAATAGATGGAATGAGAAACTAATGAGCAACATAACCAATATGACAAATAGCAGGCACTGGCAAAAGGAAAAAGCAGTTGAGGAAGGAACATGGTACACCACAGCAATACCAGCATGAAAATGACGAAAACGTAAAAATAAACTACATGGTTTTTACATTTCTGTCTTGCTTCCCACTTTGAACAGTTTGTACTAACTCTCACAAGCACGCATGAGTTGTTTGAAAACAAGAAATTCTTCTCAAAATGCACTATAATTTGGAGGAATTTCTGGAGCAGGAAAATGTTGCTTTTGGGGCGCTACATATCATCCAAATTTAGAGCACATTACAGAAAAAAAAAAACGATATCATGAAAGACCAAATTGGGAGCAGTATAATAAAGAAGGCTTACATTTAGAAAAAAAATATACATACAAAACATTCAACCCACCTGAATTGTGCAGAATGAACGTGAGTACGGTTATTTCAATACAGTAGAATCTCGATGATACGAATTCCAAGGGAGCGTGCAAAATATTTGTATCATCCCGAATTCGTATAAACCAAAAACAAGTTAAAGCTGATCATGAAAAGGAACAAGAACTTTATTGGGGTAAACTACTACTTGCTGAAAACGGTCCACAATCTTCTTTTGAATTTATATGCTTTCACCGCCTCTCAATAAAGTGCTGCAGTTTCCTCACTCATGCTGCTGGTACAATAAGGCACATTCACACTTCGCATCAGAGGGAGTGAAAGCACCAAAATTTAATGAAAATTCACTCGCTTCGCCGCATAAGTGGCCGGAAAAACAGGCAAGGAAGTCGATACGACAAATATCAGTCCAAGAGAATTCACGAGAAAACACCAGAGCAGCAGCGAAACCACATCTGTGCCCGTAGATAATGTTCTGCCCCTTGTATACAGGCCAACATCGGCGGCGTCTTCGCCACTTGAGAATTTATTCCTGAGCATTGAAGTCCCTACTGAGTTCTAGTTATGCATGCAAAGCACTGAGAAGAAACAGTTTACACATTTACAAACATTTCGGGAGTTACGTTAGAAGAAACTACACGAGCAGACGCAACGGCAGTGGTGGCGACGGATTCAGCTAGCAGTGCAAAAAAGACACGTTAGGACATGCCGACTCGCTGCTACTGCACCTCCTACATCCAGTGTTTGCAGCGATCGTAATCCAAACCAGGCTCTCGATGAATGCGTCTTTTTCAAAGCTGTGAGCTATGTGGTGCTGCGCGGGTAGTTCGCGATACACCCAAGCGAGCCACCGCACCCGCTGACGCCTTGGCCTCCATCTTGAACGTACGGCTGGTTGTTTACATCACGTGGTTGAAGAGCTAGTGCAGCCAGTGCAACCAAAGCCGTAGCCACTAGTAAGGATATCCACTATCGCGTGCCGGTGAAACTGGACTCGGACCAATTTTTTCGTGTCGGCCTCGCGGCATGGTCTTCCGGCCACTTTTCGACGATGAAGTGAGGCAAATTTCAGTGAGTTTTGCAGCATTCGCTCCCTACAAGGCCAACTGTGGACGGGCCTTCCTCCCACTGACAAGCTGTGTTGCGCCGCTTGCGTGCAGCGGTCAGTTGTGTGTTCGTATCATCCGGGGTTGCTGGGGAAACCGTTCGTATAAAACCGAACCACGGCATATTTTATATAAAGTAGTCCATCCGAAGCAACCTTAAAATTCCTATCATTGCGAAATTTGCATCAACCGTAATCGTATCATCAAAATTCTACTGTAAAAGTAGTCTTCTGAATTACCTGACTTAGCAAAGAATGAAGTCTCCATTAGCATTTGCGGCGCCTGTCGAATTCTTTAACAGACTCTGCCAATTCATATGTGGCTCTGCCAAGCTGGCGGTTTTGAAATTCAGGAGATTCGGAAAACGAGGAAGTAGAGGGTAGCGAAAAAACAAACAAAAATAACAGCAAAATGTGGTTGATCCCTCTGATATAGGAACCATTATAACACATTAAGTGAAACATATTCTCACAGATGCAGTTCAATGTTTATTACACATTGATATATATTGTCTATTGCTGTTTAGTGGCTACAGCACCCTTACATGTTGATGCACCCACGTTGATACCTAGTGGCACATCTCCTCTACCACGACATCAACAACTTGCGACCGATGTACACTTTCTTGAGACACTGCACGCACCACACACTCGCGCAACTCGCACTTGAACCACAGCGTTTGTAAACCGTGCAAGCGAAAGGGAACGAGTTTTCATTTAATCGTTCTCAAACTCACGTTCTGCTGCAGCAAAGAAGCTTGACTTGTGGGTTGGCAACCATCGTGTGGAGCAGGAGGCTACAGACATGCCAGTCAGACAGTCTGGGCTAGCAACATTGTCAAACATGCAGTGGCCTCAGTAGATAAATTAATCTAAGTCTTCTAAGATGAATCGATGTTAAAGAGGATGCAAAAGATGTGGTTTCATCGGCTTCATTGAGGCAGAAAGGCAGTTGTTATGACCTCACAAATCAACAGCCGCAAAGATTTTTACAATCCGTCACATAAAAATGGGGTGGCAGGGATTCGTTGTATGCTTCAAGTACTCTCTCTCCTTTCGAACCAGGCAGTTCCTTTTTGTCTTGCACTCTTTCGCTCACTCTTATAATGATCGAAAACTCATCGAAGAGTGATGCAGGCCTTCTGATGGCAACAGCGTCGTCTGTGGAACACGCTGATTCCCCATGTCAGAATACAGTCGCCGACCGATTTTTCGGACCTGGCGGGGACCGAAAAAAAGTACGAAAAATCGAACAGTCCGAAAAATTCGTTTTCGCAAAAAATCTGAAGTTTATTGCATCAGGCAGGTTTAAAAAAGTCCTTGATGCTGCCTTGCCTCAAACTACGCTTGGAGGCAATTCGGTTTGCCCGTATTTGCGCCAAGGTGACATCGTCGCCGTAAACGCTCGACAAAATTGTCACCGCGTTGGCGATCTCCGACGGCTGCGGGCGGTCGTCGTTGTCGTCGGACGACGACCGCCATCCGGCGACATCTAGCTGCGAACGTCCACTCTCTATTAGCTTGATTATGGCAGCTTTCTTCTCCATCGTCAGGGTCGTATACTTCCCACGCTTCTTCACACCACCTGGCTCCCGCGATGGCACAGATAGCGGAGCCATGGCACCGAGAACACAAAATTCGATGCCGCAGATAGCCGCTGCGAAGCACACAACGTCTCGACGCTACGCGACACAACACGTGCAGAATGGCGACTGAAAAAAGCTGCAACGACAATAAAAGAATCCTTCTTTCGCCTCCTCCTCGTGCGATGTGATGACGATAGTGCTGACCGAAGACGAAAAAACGGCATCCATCACCGCGTCTTTTAAAAAGCAAACACGGCCTCCGAAACTTAAAACATGGCGTGCGCATTCCAATCTCGGAGGCAGGAAAGGCATCTGAAGACCAAGCTTAGCTAAGCCGACAGAAAATCCAACATGGCGGCGTTCACAATGGCTTGAAACGTGGCACAAAACGAGCGATTTAGTCCGAAAAATCGAACTTTCAGGGGCAAATTCGCCCGAAAAATCGGTCAAAACAATGCATTAGCTCTATGGAATCCCTGACGGTGCATTTATGAAGTCCGGAATATCCAACAAGTCCGAATTTTTGGAGTCCGGAAAATCGGTCGGCGACTGTAATTGGGAGCTGCATTTTCATTTTCACCTCCATTTAATTTCTTGCGGCACTCAACATCAAGAGCTGACCACACAGTGGGAAGCTTGTGCTTATGTGACGGCTTCGATAAATATTATGGGCAATTGAGAAAAAAAACATTGTACATCGTATTCTTTTAGCATCAATTTATCACGTGGTGTGGTGACCACTTCACCACTGACATTGCGAAAAAATTATTCAACGAGGTTTTCTGGCTGGAAGTGCCACTTCACCACTGACATTGCGAATAAATTATTCAACGAGGTTTTCTGGCTGGAAGTGGAAGTCACACACGACACAAGAGCTGGTAAGTTCCTTGCCGAGCCTCGGAATGACACGCTGCCATTCGTGAAGACGTGTTCAATGGCGTGAAAAAATGCCTCCTCTCACTCGAAGACTGCACTGAGCCTTAGCCATTCTTGCAGCCGGTCACAAAACATTGAGGCATATTAGATGAGAAGCATCTTAGAGCGGAGTTCAATCAGGTGTGCGGCATGACCACCCTTACTGTGCATGAGCAACAGCTGGCCCAAGCAGTGCCAGATTGTGCTCACGTGCTAACGCGTTCCGGCCTGTGTAAAGGGATGGGTAAAATGCTGTGGTTTCTCCCCTTTACACTCTCTCAGCAAACTTGCTGGCATTCTATCCTAGTCAGAATGCATTGGAATGCGCCAGCACATTCGGACCTGTGTAAGTGGCTGTGTAAGACGCTGTGACCTCTCCCCCTTACATTCCTTTAGCATTAGATGCCTGGCTAGATCGCAGTGCAGGTGGTGGAGCAGCGGAAAGCTCGATGCGCCGAAGTGTAATGTAAACGACGGCAAGCGCTCCCCGAGCTCTGGTCTAAGGAAGCCCAGCAAAAACGGCAACGTCGGTGGGGAACTGCTACAAATGAAATGCGGGCTCGGCCTTATAAAATGCAACGGCAGTCTAGGGGAGCAAACCTCGCCATACGCAACGCCAACTTCAAAACCAAGCGTCAGCATCAAGCCCACGCTGTGCTGCGGACAAACGACACAAATCTGACGTAAAAACCAAGCGTCAGCGTCGAGCCCACGCTGTGCTGCGGACACACGACACAATATAATGCCCGTGCAGGACACCTCGCTAGACAATTTCAACGCCCAGGCTTCACCGGGCCAAAGCCACTAAATAAGGCGATAACACTAAATATGCAACATTAGTTAAACTAATGAAAACGCAACGTGCACCCCCCATTTTGCTTCGTATTGCCTTGTCGCCCTCTTTGACTGGAGATGGTGTATTTTGCCGACAAGGCACATGGAATTATTCTGGGGCATAGATAACCAACACGAGCAAGAAAAAGCACGCGCTTCGGTGCAACTGCCTTTACTAGCGTTGCTCGCACCGCTTGCTCTCGGGGTGATAGCACTGAGTGCACCGCTACACGGATAGCGGAGTGCGCCACTACAGGAAGGCGTCAGGTGGTGCAGCGGAGTTTAATGACTAAAGTATCTAGTAACGTTGACGGCCACGACAGCTAAACAGATAAGAATGCTCAAATCAGATTGTAGACTTTAGGTATAGGCATAATTTTTAGAGAAAGGAGACAGCAACGTTTAGTTGACTTCAAGAATTAATTGTGAATACTACGCCACGTGCTGCGCCACAATGTTTGGCTCGCGTGTTCGCAGGAGTCTCGACGTCCGTTAAAGAAGTGTTGCAGGGCTTAATCGAGATCAGTGCACTCTGTCCCGAAGGAGAGCACAAAATTTTCAAAATCATGCCTTATTTACACACGTGATACCCAGATTTTTGCTGTTGCTCCTTTTTGTTGTTTTACTTTCAGATGCAACTAAGTGAAGCGATGAGGTTTTCCAAGCTAGGAAACAATCTTAAGTTTGCCAAGGTTTGGCGTGGTGGTTGGACAGCACATGTCCAAAAGTAAATGTGAAGAAAACTATGCGACGGGGTGTCATGACCAACAATCCTGTTACGACAGCTTTCAGCGCAGCAGTGTAAGAATTTCCTCCTGCAGCAACATAATGCTTAAAAACTGAAGACCGACAGCGGGAAAGCACATGTCATACAAAGTGATAAGCTTCCCTGACGTTTCAGGCACAGTACAACAAGCGACGAGCGTTCACAGCAATGACCAGGCACTATGGCCCTCGCAACTGTTCTGCCCACACACGCGTGGTGGTGGTGTGTTGTGACATACTGCAGTTAATGATGCAACTGGAAATCACCAAAAAAAAAAAAAAAGATGCCCGTCATCCTTTTTTTGCAAATCACCTTGCATACTGTCAGTTTTAGCAGTTAAATTCTCCTTCTGCTGCAAAAAACTGCCTGCAAAGTTATTGTTCCCAATTTTTCTAAGAAGCATTCAGGAAGTCGTGCACAGCAGTTCCGAAATTCAACAGAATATTTGCTGCAGCAATTTTGAAGCATAAGAGAAGTCGAATCCAGGATTCGGAATGCGTGGTTCAAGAATTTGGAAGCTGTAAGAACATTGTAACTTGTACTTGCTTTGGTTTTATTTTAACGCAACTTTCATAACGCCTCATGAGATTGCAGCAATGGGCACAGGCAACCGCTCATGCAAGATGCAACATTTCATACTTTCAATGACTACATATATAGTTGCGAGTTTTATACTGCCTTTAAAGGGCCACTCACCAAGCTTGACAATTCTGAGCTGACAAGCGCAATGCGTTCGTGGGGCGTTCGCATCTCCAAAATTTGCAACGCTGCACGCCGCAGAAAGGGGTCACATTTCAAGATGAACACTGCTCTCTCTTTACCTCGAAGGCGCACGCCTTGAGAATGAGGGCAAGACGTACACGTAAAAATTGCCCCACGGTAGAGCAGTGACGTTGGTGCTCTCCGTAGACGACTGTGCTCTGATATTGCCAACAGCAAAAGGTGACATGGCGAAAGTTATTTAACATGACATGTCTAGTTTATGTGTAATTTGTAGCTTGAATAGATGAATAAAACTTGAGAAAAACAATGGGACGTAATAAGGGAATGTGCACGTCCTTTTCACCCCCCCCCCCCCCCCCGTGGTTAGCACATCAAGCAGAGCCCCGCCGCGGTGGTCTAGTGGCTAAGGTACTCGGCTGCTGACCCGCAGGGCGCGGGTTCGAATCCCGGCAGCGGCGGCTGCATTTCCGATGGAAACGGAAATGTTGTAGGCCCGTGTGCTCAGATTTGGGTGCACGTTAAAGAACCCCAGGTGGTCTAAATTTCCGGAGCCCTCCACTACGGCGTCTCTCATAATCATATAGTGGTTTTGGGACGTTAAACCCCACATATCAATCAATCAAGCACATCAAGCAGACACCTGTCCTGGAAGCGAAATAAATGGTCCTTCACGCGTTCGAGCACTCATTATGCACATCTATTCTGGCACGTCTAAGCCAGGGTTTCCAAATCATCCCGCAGAAACGGGCAGCAGACCACAAAATGATGCTGGTCAACAAAACAACGCCGCTCGCGTGCTCAGGGGTTGGGCTTGTTCGGGCCCGTCATGTGCACATGACCACCTGGTCGGATGCCGGAGTGGGTAAGGAAGAGATTTGGCTTGAAAAGGCAACGCGGGAGAGCGGCAAGGGTTTCCAGCTCGCCCCCTCTTATCCTCGTTTGGTGCCCTTTCAAAACAACACTTTTCTCAGCTGGTAATGACCCTACTAAAAAAAATTTTGTGGCATAATGTTCTTCATCGGACACAGAACAATTTCCATGGTGTTACTAAAAGTTGCTATGGGGCCTGGTGAGTGGCCCTGTAATAGTTCTTTTTTTGTGTGTGAAATTGTTGCAGGGTCTGCATTCCAAGCTATTCAGCAAGAATTTTCTACAATGCCTGATGTTTCAGCAGCTTCTACAATAGAAACATGTCGTTAGTACCAATGTTGATGTTGCACAGCTCACCAAACCACAATGCCTGCAGTGCCAAATGTTACGAATCCAGTTCCCAGCTAAACGGTGTAATCACAACAATGCATAAAAAGCGCACCATGCCCTCGTACCAGGTGCATCTACCTCCCAGGTCAACTTACATGCCTTGAGATGAAACAGGAGAGCGGACCGATCTCGGTGAACAGGCCGACCTGAAAAGAAGGCAGAACGATTCACCCCAATGATAACAAACCCATCCGAACGTAAGCCTCACAACAGCTCTGATTTAATTACGGGAACCAAAATATCAAAATTGTTATGCATGAACTTGTTGTCTAGTTGGTGGAACATACTGAAGTCAAACAGCATGAAAAAGGAGGACAGAAAAATACGAAAGTAGGAGACTTGTCCGGGAGGCTCAATTTCTGTATTATACAGAAGATTATGTGGCAACAGCTACAAAGATACTGGAGCGCTTGATATCTGCTCTGACAGATGCCACCACACTACCAGCCAATGTTATTTTAATATCCTGTATGGCAACAACATGTGAACCAAAAAAAAAGCAAAAACAATGACTGATGGGCATAAACACTGTCAATGTGGTTGTGTCTTCAGGGGTGAAGTTGCAGCCGCAAACACATAGATCGTATCGTTGACTGGTAGCGAGTGTGCGACACTTCTTGAAGGGATGAGCGGAAGCGATTGCGCTGGCCAGATGAGTCTCAAACATTACACGATGTTGAGCTTTACAAATCATCAATTGCTAGATATGTGGTACACAACACAGCTAGGGCAACTCATTGTGTTCAAGAAAAGAAACCTTGAGATGAACACCGTCGCTCACCTCACGTCAATACGGAGCACATTGTAACACAAGCAGATGACGCTCCTGGCCACGGGAGGCTTTGTAATGAAGACTCAAATATTCAAGAAGATTGGCCACTAGATTCTACGTGTACTGGAACATTTCTACGAGTAAAAAGCGCGAGAAGTTGGAAGTTCGTACGGCTGAGCCACTGAAATCTGCAGCGATTCATTTGCTTAAAGTCTTGTAATAAATTACACAGTTGATGCAGAAACTTCAAATCTGTCTTCAAATGATCCTTTGGACTTGACTTTGGCTTGACCGGCTCAATGCGTCTATACGAAATTGTCAAAACCGTTTCATGGTCCCCTAATAATAATACTATCAAGAGTTTTACGTCTCCAAACGATCATATGACTATAAAAGATGCCCTAGTGGAGAGCTCCAGAAGTTTTTTGACCATCCAGTGTTCTTTATTGTGCACTGACATCACACAGTACACAGGGCTTTACCATTCCACCACCCCCCCCCAACCCAGAAATGTGAGTACCGCGGCCAAGATCACACTCGCGATCTTCAGATCTGCAGCTGAGCCACCTTGGCCACTGTGCTGGACCATTTCTGAGTTCCATTAAGTGTTACAACTGCGGCGTACCTTGTTGACTTGCGTGACTACGGCGTCCAGGACTTCTCCCTTGAAGGGCCTGAAGACGATGGCCTTGTACCGGACGGGATACACGACAAAACCCCTGCCAGGCTGGATCAGGCCTCCGCCAATGTTGTCGATAGTGGTCACGGCCACGACGAAGCCGTACCTGACGCCACATCATAAAAAGCAGTTAGCAATAACTTCTCACATTTACGGGCTGTTGAGCACTTGTGATTGCAAAATAACAATTGCCTTGGCACTTGATTTTAAAATAAAGAAGTTCTTAAAGATTTGCTTTTGTTTGAAGACACAATATACAGAATTTATTATGACGAAAACAGACATCATTATATGTCATTTATAATGAACTTAAATTCAGAACAGTCGTGTTATAGACACAGTGCTACGAATATACATTTATACAAAATTTTGGGATATAAGGAACCTATTGTGTCAGATGTGACTATCACCATGAAACTTGAGTACAAACAATACTCTCAACAGTCTTGAAGAAGAAAAGCGTAATATTTAGCAATTGTGTAAACTGTTTACAACAATTATGCTACCAACGAGATTGTCATGAATATAGTATTGACTTCGGAGCATGGAGTAGAAGAGGAAGAAAAATAAAATGAAAGTAGAGTTTCAAACGAGGAAATATAGAATTAAAAGAGAAGAAGATGAGATATTCAAAAACTGGAAAAGAACACGAAGAAGTAGAAAACGGGCATGAAAGGCACCGTGGCCGGCAGGGAGAAAGACAGAGGAGAGCGCTGAAAACAGGAGGAGGCATGGCTGCAGCGGAACAGCGTCCTGCCGAAGACCACTTGCAGTGCTCCTGCAAGAACATGACCCAGCCATCACAGCAACACCCTGTGATCTGACGGGTACGATCAGGAGTGGAGCTTGGCCGAGCGACATCATCATCGTAATAACGCGCAAGACGTCCTCAGGCTACACTTTGTAAGCTGTGCCTCAAAAGGACGAGCGGTATAGCCGTTGAAACGACAATGCTTTGGTGACCCGACACTTCAGCTAACTTTCGTATACCAGTGACGCGGCTAGTATACAACTTGACATCAAAGCCGCCGTCACCTCGAAGCCATGCACCTTATGTGTGCTGTAAATATAACTTACTAGATATTGTACATAGCGTGTAAGGAGAGTTGTAATATACCTTGTTTTTTTGTTAATTGCACTTTTCACTTTAAAAAATTTTTGATCTCTTAGTGTTACAGTGTTGTGCTTTACCATCCAGAAACCATGAGTGAGCTTAATGTTGTCAAATCCACATTTCAAGCAATAAATTTTATCAATCCATATCACACACATGCACAAATGATGCAAGCAGGTGCTAAGTTTTTCGTAGGGTGCTTTTGACTGTCTAGATTGGTTCAACATCTGCACATTGGATTTGCTAGAAACTTGGGAGATAAAATTAATTAACGCAACATCCAATATGTAGGGCAGCTGCACATGCATAGAATATAGCAGCCAGCCAGCCTACAGGGCATCTGGTAAGCGACCAAAGAATAGGATAACACGCTGAGAGCTGTGTTGCATCAACTCAACTGCACACCAGGAATCACGAAATCCTTGGCAATGGCCACAATATGGTCACCTCGTTCTGCACCTAGTGCTAATAGGCAGGCAAAGAATACAATATTTTATCCTATTTAAAATGATTAATGATCATTCATTCTTCTTATTTCCTTTGTAGTGCACTCACAGACAAGCTAATACAGAAACGAATAACTGTGTTTTGTAAGCACTATGCCCCTTTAGACAGATGCATAAATTGCACACAGGCCATCCTTGAAGGGAGCGACAACTGGTCAGATTGCGTCATGAGATCCTGGTGGAAATTAAGCCTGTGAATTAAAGTGACTGATTCAAGAACCCTATGCACTTTCAGAATGATTATACATACAAATTCTATTTGAAAGTCACAAAAAGTTGGTACGTCGTGCACCCTGCCAGAAGAGTCTCCATGCTGCCCTGTGGAGTTTGTTCATATGTACTACGTAGTCTGATGATTTTCTGCCCACCATAATTAAACCTCAATAAGTTAGTACCTATGTTATTATCTATCTCCGACTTATCCTGTGCTACTTATGATGTAAAAGCAGTTGACGGTGAAGAGCGACGCTACCTCCACACCAACTAGTGACACATGCGTAGCTGCAGCACATGGGCACAGAGCACACACATGTGCAGCAGACAAGAGTGCACAAACACGAACGGCTGTTGTGCTCATCTCCCGGTGTTTGCAGCATTTGCTGCGCGTGCAACTTCAGATCCGCAGACCGCAAAATCATGTTTACAAAAAGTTCACGCCATCTTCCACGTAACCTTTCCATTACTAGACGCTCTGGCAAGTCAGCTTTCCATTACACTCACGAATACCGATACCTTAAAAATTGGTTGTGGTTCATTCAAGCCGAGATAAATCACAGCTGAAGAAAAGCGCATACAGAAACACAAGGGGCTCAAACACGGTGTTTGTATTGTCGGCTGCTTTTTTTTTATCTCATGGCCGTCTCTGCATGCCATACTTGCATCCACAAAAGATCTCTGTTAAGATGAATTCTCGTCCTTCTAGCTTTGGGTTTAGATAGAGTCTAAACATACACACTCGCACGTTTTAAGCAGTCTGAACGACACTTGTCTAGGGCGGCCACCGACGCCGCAATGATACCAAACATAGTCGCACTGCATGTGAGGTTCCTGTGCTAAAACTCAAGCACGAACGGAAGCCCGTCGCTGACGCGATGGAGCGGCTGTGCACGGCGCACAGCTGCGCTGCGCTCGACCGCTTCAGAGGAGTGTGATTTAGACAGTACGTAAGCACGCCTGTTCCCAAGTGCTGCAAGGAGACGTATTTACTTGGGATAACTTGCTAAGTCAACAACATATAAGCATGATCGAGGATAGGCTCTGGCATGCTGATGTCTTTCTTAAGCATGTCCCACAAGACGGGCACGATTCATGCCCTTGTGAAGCGCGTTCATAGAATGGTCACGTTCACCGCTGCACTCACTTTCCCGTGCAAGTCCCCTCCACTTCGGCGTACAGCTTCTGCTTCACGGTTTCAACGAGCTGAGGACCGAAGTACTTCGGATGCAGCAGGATTTCGTGGTCCAGGGAGATCTGCAAAGATGCAGGCGTCGCAAGAGACGCCCGTTACACGAATGCGACCTACCGTCACGGCGCCATCGCGAGCCTGAAACCTGTCATTTACCCGTTAAAAATTAGAACTGAAAGCACAGCCGTCGTCATCATTTATAATGCACAACATTCGGACGATTTACGACGCAATACTCACGTGATAAAACATATTGTTGCCGAAAACAACGCCGCTTGTCACGCGCTGAATGTTTTGTGCACGATTAGTGACGGGACGCAGTAGTCCGTGATGACTACTGCGATTGTATATCCCAAACGATCAGAGCCATTTGAGCCTTGTACTCTACACATGCTTTAAAATGCCGTTTACTGGTGCTTAACAAAAATTATTATTACGAAATTAATAATATACCTTCGCAGTAACTTTTGAGAGCAAAAATTTGTGATTTTATAACTGTTCTTATGTCTATTATTTTGAAGCCAAGCTTACGCTACAAGCTTAAATTAAATTTGTAACTAAACCTCATAAATAAGGTGTACGTTGAGCTTTGACGCTTTTTAACTGAGCTATAAGGTATTTCTTGGTACTGAAAAAATTCGTTGTGCATTTTTTTGCATATTAAATTACAAAACTAATTTAGGGAGCCAAATTTAAGTTGCAATATGGCTTTCATGAATGGACCACTATCATAAGAAGTGCTAGCAGCGTGCTTTCTCGAATTAAATAAAAGGTTTCTATCAAATATTGTTTTATCTGTCTATTAGAATTTTAGACTTGCTAATACTACTGATCGGCCAATTATTAAACCAGTTGTCAACAAGGCCTCGACAGTAACGAAACCGAAACTGTCCAACGAGGGAGCGCTTTCGGCGTCGCGGAAAATGAGCGAGCGCCGACGACGCATAGCAGACGCCCCCGTCACGTTTCCGCTTTTTTGTTTTACCTTGAGTACAAGCACGCCCACGACAGAGTAGAGCCTACGCCCTTACGAAGCGGCGTAATATACGACACCTAAAGCGTCGTTCTCATTACTCCCACGGCAATAGATCGGTACCGCCGAGGAGACGTTACCGCGGCCTACACCTTTCGTCCGAAATCACCGTCGAGAGTGTCGGGAAGCCATCTTCCGTGCGAACCGCGTGGTCCTGCCAAACTTCTTGGCGCCCGTCTATAATCATGGAGGACAACGTCAAGCACATCCTCGAGCAAGCCGACGTTACCGGTGGTCTCCACTACAAAAACCCGGTGAGCTGACGTCTCAACGTTCAATTGAGTGCTCCCGTTAGCGGAAATAGTTTGTCCGTCCTTGCATTTGCCTGCGCGTCCCCGCGTCACGCGTATAAACGTACGTACCCGCTCCCTACAATAAAAACACCCCGTAATATTCCTGCCCGACGTGTCGGTGAAAGCATTTTTTTTTTAAAGTGATCTTTCCACGAAGTATAGTGGAACAAAAAAAAGTTCCAAAGAGTGCCTGCGTAGAAAAAAAAAGAAAGGCAATATTGTTTGAAATAAACACGTGTGTCTTGTTTCATATGAATGGTACCTCAATGAATCATCGAATTCTGTGCGTGTTAACTAGCGCTTGAACAATAAGGAACACTAAATTGCTGTTTAGCCTCTACGAGTATATGCTGTACCACATATCCTTACTGTAAGGTCACTGCGATATCCCCATGAAACATTTGTGAACTGTTTTGTGCAAACAGCCCAGCCTGTTAAGTTCCGCAAGAATTTTAAGACCTTAACTTATTTTGGGCATTCCGCGAGCTCTGTTGGAATAACGATCAGCCGAAGCTGCCTTTTTATAAGCCTATTAATTTTCAGCAGACCATCAGCTGTTAAAGGCTGTGATTCTCTGCAATTAACTGAGCTATGTAACATAACCACGCCCCCCTTTTTTATTTACGTTTCTGAAAACGTTTCGCAAGCCGGGACTATGTGTCACCGTTCAGACTTAGCAAATATATCGACAAGACATCCGTTTTCTTTTGCCGATTCATCAAATTATTTTTTATTCAGGGAAATATTTTAACATGACTGCCGCCCGCATATGACTAAACGCAGCTGCAACAGCTATGCGACTACATCGGCGGCTCGCTCTCTCACTAAAGCCGTTCCACCACGTACGTTTGGTGGACAGAGGCTATATTTAGGCTACTCTAGCGGCTAGACGGTGCCTAGCGTCTGCTCGATTATTTCAGGACTTCCGTTCGTGCCCGGAATCGCTGAGAATGGAGCGGCGGAAAGTCGAGAGATGCTTTTAAACAAGCTCCTTTTTTTTTAATCCTGTTTCGCACAGCGCGACTTGGGGTGCGTTCCTTTCAGTCTAAGAGGAATGCGTCACGTGCTGTTGACCGACTCTCACACCACGTTCGTGCGTCACTGCCGGATTCGAGACGTGGGAGAGCTACACTCAGGCAGTGCAAGAAAATAATAAAAATAGATGAATAATACCAAGAAAAGTGAGACGAATTGTGACAAAGCCGTCGCGTGCACCGAACTTGGGCATTTGTTGCTCGCGCAAACTATGCTAGTTCTGTGCAGCATTGTCAAGGCCAAGCGCTGCACAGAACTTCGATGTTATATCTTTCAACAAAAGGGGAAAAAAGAGAAGAAAAAAACGACGAAGTATCGTACACATCGTTCCTGACTAAGGTAGTTGGATGACTCGAAGTTTTAATGTTCTGAACTAGCTCCAGCACGGAACATGCTGGAAAATGGGAGGAAAATGCAAAATTTCCCTCCCATACAGCTGACATTTTCTGCTTTCTAACAAAATTTCTCTCACTTACGTAAAATATTTAATATTATTCATGGTTATTTGCGTCACCTCTACTTGTGTTGTTTAAGCAATGTTTGTACAGGCAAATATTTGTTTAGCAAAATTTTAGCGCTGCATTATTTGAATAAGTTAAAGCGAAGTAATCATTATTATATAGCAGTACTGAGTTAGTTTTTTGTTGGGTGTCAGCTTGCACGAACCTTGTTCAGAAGTTTGGGCGTGTACACACTCGCCTGTGCAGTCACCTCACCAGAGTATTTGGAGATTAACATGAATTTTGCACTCATGGGGAGACCGCACAACAAAACCTTCAACATTTGGGAATTAGTGAGTCATTTAATACTTGCTGATTGAGCTAAGTCCACGCGGCCCTCAACTTGATTAATGGCCGATCAGAGAGTCGACCATGAAAGTGGCTGAGGCACTTTTCGCCGATACGTACGATATTACCGTACTTTCTATGCGGTAAATCAGCAGTGCTACCTAAAAAAATCTAATATTGAGACGAAGAGTAAGCGTTTAATGTAATTGTTTAGTGACCTTTTCAAATATCTGGGTAATATTGTGCGTTTCAAAGGGCAACGCAACTATACCATTACACGCCTATCCACACAACACAATGGTATCATGAAAGTGCCTCTTAATAGTCAGAAAACCAATGATCGCTGTGAATTTTGCAGACAATAAAAATGAAAAAAAGAAATAATAGGAATCATTTAGGTGTACAATGTTGCAATTAAAATGCAGAGATTCATTTTACACCGCTTTGGTGGTCAAGTAGCTAAAGTACTCGGCTGCTGACCCGCAGGTCGCGGGATCGAACCCTGGCTGTGGCGGCTGCTTTTCCGATGAAGGCGGAAATGCTGTAGGCCCGTGTGCTCTGATATGGGCGCACGTTAAAGAAGCCCAGGTGGTCGAAATTTCCGGAGCCCTTCACTACGGCGTCTCTCGTAATCATATCGTTGTTTTCAGAAGTTAAACCCCACATATCAATCAAGATTCATTTTGAAAATGAATTGAGTGAGAAGATGTTAAAGTTCCATTGAAATAGCAAAGTATTTTTTGCAGCAACAGCTGTTATGATATCGCAACTCGGGTCTCGCGTAGCGCCGTAGTTGTCCGCCGGCGGTGTCCGTCACCTCAACACGGAAAATTAGAAAAAAAAACTGTACTACCAATGACACAGTGGAGTTCAAACCCGGGCCTGCTGGACCCCAGCCCAGTGTACTATCACTGAACCAATCTAGTTTTCCTCTTTATTTGCGCTTGGGAATTGTTGGCAAACTTGCTTTGGGAAGGCTTGATGTCGGAAAAGAAATCGCGTTAATACGACTTATAAATCGTTTATAAAAAACTCGGTAAATAAAAAAAACACCAATGACACATCAAGGTTCCAACCTGGATCCACTGCCTGCCAGCCCAGTATTCTAACTCTGAGCCATGCCAGTGCTTGGGACATATTCGCAGAGTTGCCCCATACAGGCTTGATGTCAGGAAAGGAATAGCGTTAATATGACTAATAAAGCTGTTTTACAACAGCAAAGGAACAACCAGTCGTCACATAATGCGAATAGCGTAATGAGTGGGTCATCCGATGCTCTAACCCATCACAAAAGCTTGTTCTTGTTCACCTATTAACTGTTGCGCATACCACTTCAGCCATGGTTCTTTATCGTCGTCAGCCACTGCATGAACAATGGGCACCAAATTCCTTGTAAGTGTTTAGTAAGTACCACGCTTCTCAGAATAATGAAGAAAAATAGCATGGTGAATGCCGGCCTACTACTCAGAAAATTTTATTATTAATGCCGTAGTGGGTATCGAGCAAGTCTGCTTGCAAGTAGTTTCCCAATGAGTGTTTAGAAAGGGCTCTGAAGGTCCGATCTTCTAGCTTTCGCTGCGACTGTCCTGGCCTTCCGCGCAGTTTTTTGTTCCCACAAGAACCCAAATATCACCTTAATGTGAGAATTTTTTTTTCGGGTTGGCAACCCTGGTCGCGGGCCCGTTGGACAGCCCATAGTTGTTCTTCAAGTGTGCTGCTAGTATAGACCCTTTTATTTTGACAACGTGATGTTCTTTCTGTGGCCATAAAGAGTACTACAAAATGAGCAAGCAGTCTTCACCTTCATTGATTCGTAATGGTGCGTTTTGTGACGTTTTGCCAGTATTCACCAGCACATACATCATCCTCAACCTTCAATTTCAATTCATTACAAATCTCCTACGCCTGCTTAGTTCATAAACGGGACAATCCAAGGTCTAAGAAAGTTTTCTAGAGAGATAAATTGTTGTGTGCTTGAATTCGCATAGACCAGAAAATGAAATATAGAGAAATCTCTTTCTTAATCCTTCTGATACACACTGGGCTCAGTTTCACTTACATTTTGCCTTTATTACGTACCTTTGAACATTTCATAACACCGATCACTGGGCTGGGTGGAGAAAGCATTCTGGTAATCATATTACAGATTACGTAATCGCGAAGGTTTCATAAAACGCATTCTCCGTCAGGGATTATATGCAGGACTCGAACATTTTTTTTCGGGCATTGGTGGCGCAAACAATGAAATTGGTATTATATAAGTATTGATTGGTTCTTCGTGCATAGCTGGTTGACATAAATTAGTAGGAAGAAGTTCAAATAAAACGACAAGGAACACAAAGCAAGGAGTCGAGTCCTCGTCTTCGTTCACACGTTATTTGTCATCTTTTTTTTTTCACCAATTTATCTGAATAAGTTAAAACAATGTTGCCCTAAAAATTCATATATGCAGCAAAAACAATAATATTGAATAAAAATGTTATGACCACATACAATCAAGCATGTTTCCTACCTATTAAAGTATATACTGGTCAACAAATGAACGAGACATTTCGCTGCGGTGGAGCTGTTGTCGTGGTATTTGGCTGCTAAACAGAAGGTCGCGGGTTCGTTAACGGCTGCGGTAGTCACATTTCCATAGAAAGGCTGTAGGCCCGTGTAATGTGCGATGTCAGTTCTCGTTAAAGAACATCACATGGCCGAAATTTTCGGAATTACTCTACCGTGTCCATCATGCGTTTATCGTTGTTTGAGGCGCAAAACCTAATGTTGTTGCTATTATTATTATTATTATTATTATTATAAAATGTGTCAGACATTTCTACTCGCTGCCTTTTTGCATAATATACACTCCTGCACATCAAATATTATCACGGAGCGCATCGCTCACTTCTTTTAGCAGCCTAAGCTAAATTCAAAACGTTGACTGAACCTGCTCTACGAAGTTCTTTGATTAGTTATTTAGTTTTATGTCTGGATAATTCCTGCTAAATATACAAGCTAAGCGTAGGAGATATTCTACGAGTATTCTGTGATACGTGCCTACTTAAGTGGTTAAAAAGTTAGGTACACTTGAAAAACATCAGCTGTTCCACATCTCTCCAACATGCAAAAAGCAAATAAATAAATAAATAAGAA